ATCGACAAAGAGACCACACTGGAACTGACTGCACATTCATTTTGAACTAAAAAAAGGAGTACAATGAACTTGAAAGCAATTTTAATTTGAAAAAATATGAGCTTAAATCTGGCTTGTAATGTTTCTCTTAAAAAAGCGCGCAAATGTCATCCCAATCCTTGCTGACATTCATAAACAAAAAAGTCAAAGTTTATTATCCTAGAACTATGTACTCAAAATTTAATGCGAAGAGCGATTAAAAAACAMATTTTTATTGAAAATATTACAAAGCTCATGTTATAAGGTTATAAGTGAAAATATACAAAACGTTTTTGGTTTTTAACTTCATGTCCATATTGAACATTTTTGATCAAATCAATGTAATAGTACTCTTTGCTTGTTGAACTCTCTTGCCACTGAAAAKATTTAATCCCACAGCAAACCAAGTTGTTTTCTTTGGATTTATAATTAATAATGACAGCAAGTTCCACTGTTTATTTGAAGTAATCACCCTACAGAAGAAATAGCTGTAAAAATCTACTTTTTGAKCGCGCGGAMRRGAACCGGACTAGAAAAGTAAAAATTACTCTTCGAGTTTTTTTCTTCCTTTTATTTCACAATGAATTTCTACTAATAGACCGAGCGAAGAATGCATAGGCTAGCAGTAACGAGAACATTTCTCTTATATTCTTTTTTTGGTTACAGTAATTTGAACTTCTTTTCTGCGCTACAACCACCGCTCCTCCCCGGATAACACCAGATGAGATTGAGTTGTTTTGYTCATCAACTGAAGCGTTTCATTTATGTACAAACTTTAAAGTGTTTATCACCTTTTATTGTTTATGTTAATATTTCAATAGCTTTTATGAATGAGACCTTCTTTGGTTATAGGTGCTAAATGCCATAGAGACTCTTAAAAGAATTTGAACTGAATTCTATRATTCAATCGTTAAAAGATAAAAATTCAAACCTAAAGCGAAACTTGTTATTGTCATTATTAAACAACATTATTGTGTTTCAAGTTTCACTTTAAATAATATATAAATGTTTTTATTACTTTTCGTAGGTTTTGTTTCAAAGATTAGGAAAATATTTTGACATCTTAACTTAGGGAAATTAAATTATGCCGCGTCCTTATTTTCATCTGACGCCGCGCGCTCGAAGTTTCTGACATCGCAGGCTCGCATGTGGAAATCGCGACATTTGAAAAATACTTGGGCCATGTAACCTCARAATCATGTGAATTTTTAAAAGGTTTCTGAATACGAAAAGCAGACTTTTTATCAAAAGGGAACGAGTGTGTATGACGTCAGGTTTAAAGATSAAAGATTTAATGTCACGTGATTTGACATGTCACGTGATATCATTCATAGCATTTTGTTCAAACAAATACTCGCTTACTATTGGGTACTTTGGCTGTCRATCTCCGTGCCGAAGACCTTTTATAAACATGGAATGAAAATCATGAGAAATTATACAAAATATTCAAATTTGAGAATGTGATCGTAGTCTGTTTCAATTTGCAATCCGAGATGCAAAAGCTTAAGTATGGCAGAAAAAAATTTCAAATGTCGTAAGGCACATTAAAGTAATTTTAAGTCTATCAGTTCAATGTCTTTTCCGTGATAAAACATTGCTAAAATCTTTTAGCACCGCAGCAAAATTTTCAAGTGACAATCTGAAGTCTATCAGTTCAATATTTTTCAGTGACAAAATACTTCTTAAATCCTTGAAGCATTGTAGCAAAAAGTGACGTTAGGCACCTTTAAGGCAATCTGAAGTCTATCAGTCAATATTTTTCAGTGATAAAGTACTTTTCAAATCCTTAAAGCAATGCAGAAAATCTTCAAGTGACATTTGGGCACCTTTAAAGCAATAATAAAATGTCTTTCAGTGAAAAGATAATTTTAAAAACRTGATATCAATGAAACAGTATCTACAGTAAGCAGTGTCTAACATTTCGTGATAACGTAGATTTATAGCCCATCATTAGTACTGGAATAATAGCTACTTGAAGGACGTAGGACAGCTATATATAAACATTTAACACTGACGACTTGTACAGTAATGATATAGAGCCCTWGAAGGCATTATATCATGAGAATAAATTGGTTACATACAGGTGGTTAAAGGGCTATGGTCAAACAGCATCCCTTACGAGCGTTTTTCATGTTTGAAAATATAGAACTACATCGCAATATAAGCAAAACCCTACTCTTTATTATCCCTTTATACTATATGAATGGAGATACTGTAAGATTTGACATTTAAAACGATGGATGGAAACGGATTGCGAATGGATATCTAAAGCCATTTTTCAGTCATGTATGAAAAATCTAAAACATGACCGCATTGAATGCTGGTTGACCTATACCCATGAATCATTGCAYGATCAGAATGAAATGCGTCCACTGGATTGACATTTTTCAAAAATGGCCACCTATATATTTCTAACCATGGTATATTGAAAAAATGTTTCCCGAAATACATAAGTCCTACATGTTTCGCTCAAAACTATCTAGAAAGGTACAATGAAAATAATGCATAGAAATAAATAGTCGAAACTTTGGCTTGGGCTTTTCTCTCAGTGTAAAATACGAAGATTTAAAAAATTCATGTTTCGACAGATTTTCAATATAACTTTCTAAATTCTTTACATGGCTTCTAAGTAAAGMCCACTATTTTCAATARCAAAAACATTTCAGGRGTTATTCTGCCTCARGTTGGAAAAACACTTATCTTTTGAGCAGCGGCCATTTTGGAGAAAGTTTGGTTCGATATCAACAATTAGAGTTTTTCTATACACGATGATTCAAGATATCTGATGTAATAATTGCCATATTGATTACTGTCATCTGTGAGATATGTTTTAATTTGCCAACATTATCGTGTTAAACTGTTTTGTACATGGAATCTATTATGTTTGTATCTGAGTAAACATTCTAGAACACTCGATCGATAAACTAATTAGGATATTAAATAGAAACAACGGTCATTATCAGTGAAATTACACAAGGTGAAAACCATGCATCATTTATCTCCAATGACATTGTTTTCTTTAAAAGCAAACGCACTTGAATCATGAAATAAAGTCAAAGAAGTTACTAACAATTAGAATGAAATCAAAACGTGAAATAGATATTACACTAATACACCTTAGTTCGCTCTAATTGCATTGTTTTCTTTTGTGTCTATTTGACTATCACAGTTTAATGAGTCAAGTTTTGTTTCACGGGTTTAATGACTTCATTGTAGTGTTTTTTAGGTTAATAATAGTAGTTTAGAATGGTCCCCATAAACCCATGAAACAAAAGTGTTAAAGCCAAAGTATAATARTGTATGATACACCCTTGAAACTAAGTTAAAGAAAAGACACAATAAATAGTGATAGAATGAAGAAGATTTAAGTGTTTCACGGTTTAGAGATAATTCTAAAAACCCGTGAACCAAAGTGTAACAGAAATACTACACAAAAAGACCAAAAAAATGTCAACAGTAAAGAATAAAAAGCATAGTACGATAAAAAAAGGGTATTTCACGGCTTTACCATATCATATAAAAACCAATCTATTAGACTAATACACCTCAGTAGCCTTTAAATCCAGCCATTCTCTTGTATCTATTTGAGTATCACACCATTTCACGGTTATAATGTCTTCCAAATGTGAGTTCAAATTTTTAGGGGTTAGCCACACCCATATTCGATGATAGGGTGCAGTTGTGGTTCAAAAGACCTACATGCTCGCGGATTTACATAAGAGCTTGCGGAAAACATCCGTTGACAACTACGCGAACAGACTTTACACTAAGCCCTTTGCTCTTTTACAACCTTTGCGAATCTGTCAGCGTTAGACTACGTTGAGTATTGACAGGGTTAGACCAACACCTATGTGAACGTAAGGTATTACCTTACGGAAGCTTTCGCGGCGTTGAAAGTTATACAATCTGTAGCTTTTTGAGGATAAAGAATTGAAAAAACTTAGATTATGGGTTAGGCTAAAACGTCACAAAAACGTTGCGTTAATATGCGTTTTATATATACATATATCCTTACGGAATCTTTGCGTTGGTCTGTAAAACAACATTTCAGTATATCGGACAGGTACMTATCGAGAAAAATGTTGCAACAGCTTTGCGGTAATAACGAAACGCATCGCGTTACGGAARCTTTKCGTTGATACTGTATAAACAACTGCTCAGTCAGGATAAGAATACTTCGAGAAAATAATGTTACTACCAACCTACCAAGGATAAGAATACTTAGAAAAATTTTGTACCAACTTCGGTTTTTACGCAACGTAACACGTCACGGTAGCTTTGCGTTAATATAAACMGCTGTTCATTCAGGATAAGAATAGAAAAAAATGTTGTACCAACTTCGGCGTTTACGCAAAGTATAACGTTACGGAAGCTTTGCGGTGACAGTTGGAAGAGTGTTGCACTTATAAAAGGCTTGGCCAACGSGTCTGTTTTTCTGCAGGGTTTTGATGGCTTGCGGGGATATCCGTTAGCGTACTTGACGTCGTATGAGATTTGAATGAATATGAAAGAGAAGTAAAATTTGAAGAGATGAATGGAAATACGAAAGAAAGCCCCCGATGTTAGGGACAACTAAGAAGGTCTAATATCTATTTCACGGGTTTGGTGACTCTAGCATTATATGGAACTAGAGAATGATTCAAAGTTTCGACATGTAGCCGGTTGTACGAATGGTAGATAAAGCAACCCATTTCATATATTTTGTATGGAGTATAGACCCCTTGCAGTTCGTGGGAATGCAATTCCAACTGGAGGACAAATGAATAGATTCTAGTTCCCAAGAGGGCAAAAATCTTTTGTTTTATCCTCCAGATGAAGCTGCTTTGACGTCACATGCAAGTGGTCTATATCCAATGTATGAGGATAAAGACACTCTTCGTTCACAGACCCTAAGACCACGCTGTAATCGTTATCATCATGTAATAATAGTGGCATCATCGTCAAGCTTCATTATAGATTTTCAAGTAAATGTTTTAAGGGGGCTGTGACGGTTTTTTGTCATACAATAACTAGTTTTCAGATTAAGGGGGCTGGATTCAAATAAAACTTTCAAACTGGTTCTCTCAGTCAATACAAACACGGGGATTAAAGAAGGCTTATTTCATAGATGCAAATTATCCAAATTGTTCGGATTAAGGGGGCTTGAAGCRCAATACAGTAGCATTAAGTATGGCTCAAATTTAAGGGGGTTCGCGTCGTTGTAAAACTTCAAAAACTGAAGTGTTACTTTTTATAAAATTCACGATGGATCAAAAGAGGCTCATCTTTAAATTCATCAAAGGTGTTCACAAAGAAAAGAATCCAACCTTCCCAAGTAGTGTTTGTTCCGATGCGTCTGTTTGCTTTTGCAAATGCACACATACATTGTTCTCAAAACTGTGAGAAAACTCTAATTTCCTTCGTAATTTATTAAAACCCAGACGACAAACCYCTGCTCGGTTACAAATGAATGAATCTTGTGTACATTTAGATCAGTCTTCATCCTTGAGGTTTCGAAATGACTCTAATTAGCAAAAGCATTGTTTGTTAGCGACCTTTGATGTTTGCAAAGTTGTGTTCCCYTCACTGATCTCCGTGTTGAAACCGCAAAATATTGATTTAAGACTAACTGACAGAGATACGTTTGGCCGCGTTCTTTAAGCACAGAAAAAAACTCAACACTCCTACTTTTACAGTGAKGTARTTTTASRCTTTATGAACTTAAATCTCGTCAGGGCAGATCAGTTGAAGAATCAATATTGCTCGTCTACTAACAACAGACCACTTAAAATAGTCAGGTTTCGTTGTATGAACATCAAGAATTCCGCGCTAAACTGTTTGGCTACTAAGCAACGTCATTAGGCCACTGGTAACTGATCCTGTAGCATCGCGACCTCGTATCTTATTTCAATACTCTTGCTAGGAGTCGATTGTGGGAATTTGCCAGTAATCACCAATTGTCATTCACAGAGCGTTTGGATGATTTGTTTCGTCGGCCAAGAGGAAGCAACTAGCCGAGGGATTTGGATCCATTGTGTGCGACTCAGAGAACGGTAAGTTTGGATATAATTAGTGGAAAAATAKCAATTTGCGGCTACATGTTATTTAGAAAAGATTAAAGCGAAATCCARGGCAAAAAGTAATACTAAAATTCACAGATTTGAAGCGTGACCTCGATGTTTTACCAAACTTTCTGACATYCGACAATAATGACTTCTTGTAGATTGAACAATAGAAACGAATTACTAGTAATTATTTTTATACTTTATACTGTTTTTGCCAATGAATATTGTCAATTTCCAAATCATGATCAATTGTTCTAGAACCACTTTTGATTGATCATAGGTTCGATTCTAAACGATGTTGATTTCTTTGGTAAAACATTATAAGATTGAGTGATTATAAGCGTTTTTCAGTATGTTGATGCAATACAAAGGGAAATATTTTATAAGCGCTATTTTCTGGCTAAAAAATGAGTCTCCCGCAGCGAGCCTATTAGACTTCGACAATCCGTCACATCTTATAAGTACAAGGAAAAGCGAAAGGCTTTCGATTGAGCAGTTTAAATGCTCGCTACTTCATTTGACAGCCATGGACTATGTTGACTWGTGACGCACTGTCAATTCTTAGAGTTCTGTCCTAACGAACCTGTCCTCTATATAACATAGCCCTACAGAGCTTTACATATAACTAAATCATCGTTTTTCTTAAGACTTAAGTACACAGCCWATCCAAAAATAGTGCAGAATTAATTAAAGGTGATTGAATTAAAAGCATAAAAGATAAGAAGGATGTGGCGAATTGACCACTGATATAGGATCATTCGATAGGGCAATACAGCGTGAATAGACACGCACATGTAACTCCGAACAGTCGATCTTTTATAATTCCTTAGATTTACACCAAAGTAATGAAAATAACCATTCCTTTTGAATCATAAAGCCGTACAAAGCCGCGTAAAAGGTCACTGAGGTCTAGATTTCTACTTATCGCTCATTGAATACCTTCTATTGTTGAAGGAAAGGTGTAGTGTCGGATTTGATTATTAAGATCAACGATCGCGTTGAATGCGCGCTACAGCCTGTGGTTTGTGCTAATGAACTGTCAAGATTAAATGATTTCGTTCTATCGAGTTGGATAATGAGTTCGAGTTGGACTTCAAGTTAACTCGCGCTACAGTCTGTGGTTTCTGCTAATGAACTGTCAAGATTAAACGAATTCGTTCTATCGAGTTGGATAATAAGTTCGAGTTGGACTTCAAGTTAACTCGCGCTACAGTCTGTGGTTTCTGCGAATGAACTGTCAAGATTAAACGAATTCGTTCTATTTAGTTGGATAATGAGTTCGAGTTCGAGTTGTACTTTACCTTGAATATCGAGTTAACTGATTTGGCAAGTGCTACATTTCTGCTATTTCGTTCTATCGAGTTGGAATCCAAGTTGAATATCGAGTTAACTGATTTGGCGAGTGTTACATTTCGTCAAAAAACAGTCATATTGCGCAAGTTGTCATTTTGCGGTTATTTTGCAGCCCTCAGAGGACAGACCTCCCTTCGAACAGGAAAAGACTGTTTTTTTTCTTTTGTATCTAAAGAGAGCATAAGTTCTTTCAAAGTCACCTTTTGAAAATTTGAAAGTTACTGTATTGAGAAATTTGCTTTCACATATTCCAATGACAACCGACACTAGCCTAGGAACTGGAATAACTTCTTTCTAAGCACTATAACTTAATATTTCCAATTCACATATTCATAAGCAAGGGACGACAGTTTGAGACCGCAAAGGCGCCTGGGATCGGCAAGTATTTGGAATCTTGTATATTGATGCGACTTTGCAAAGATTATGTATTGACTTGTATAGCATGACCTACATTGTTCATTGGACAAACAATTCAGGCTCAGCCGACTTCCGGGATAAGAACCGACATGTCTATGTTGACATTTGGWTTKTGGGAAGATAAGTTTATCCCGGTAAAATTTATAGAAAATCTACCGCTAATCTAAGAAAATTTCCCCCTCCCTCCTAGAAAAATTATATTATTTCCATATCTGTTTGACTGTTCAAAAGGACAAGCCCATATATATAAAATTGAGCCATTCTTTAAAGTGGAACTGAGCTCAATTTTTTTCAAATTCTAAGATAATCCATCCTTTTGAAATAGTTACTTGCCTCAAAAAGATTTTGAATTTGAAACATTAACGTTTCACAAATAAAAGGGTTTTTAATTAACCGACTCCCATGAAGACAGAAAAAATCATTTTATTTTACCATGGTGACACTGGTGAAAAACGCACTGCGCATGTCCACTGTTCCCGCTGAAATCTGCCTAATTTCCTTTGTAAAGCGATTTTTTTGAAAGTTTTTTACAATTTATAAGCTCGTTCACCGATATATAAGATTCATATTTCCATCAATCATTGTTCATGATAGGTCCTTTTAGTATGTAGTTTCTATTTTTATCTTGTTATTTCTATTTTGAGAAAATGAGGTTTTTCGTAGTGTTTTCTGTGTTGTCGCTGTAAATCGCCAGGCGCTCTGTTTACAGATTTCAAGACGCGAGCGCCCACTGGCGGRAAAGCTGTGGRCATGCGCAGTGCGTTTTTCACCAGTGTCTTCCATGGTGGTTTTGTCATCAGTGAAAAAAATTGAGTTCAGATCCACTTTAACCGCCCTCAACTTTTGTCATTTTTAAGGCGTTTTTTTTTTAAWTTYMMMAAWKRA